CTTGCATCCTTCAATGGGGCCTTGGCCTCTGACACACTGGCTTTGATTCACAAAGCAGGAGCTTCCTGCATGCAACCTTCGATTGCATCATTGACCTTACATGGTTCACAAATTAATGGTGGCCTACATACCTGCTTCGATTGGACATTTGATGCATGCATGCCTGTGTTGATTGGACAAATAATTCCCTTCATGCTTGCTTTAATTCACAAAGTGATGGCTGGCTGCAGGTAGCCTTCGATCGAACAATAGTTTCCTTCTTGCATGCTTCAAAGCAAGAGGTTCCCACCAGGCCAGCAGGCAAATAAACCCTTTGTGGCCTCTTTCAATTCAAAGAGGAAAATCCTCATGTTTGGCTTCCTTCGATTCAGGAGGCAAAGGCCTTTTTTTTGGTCTCCTTCAATTGTACCCTTTACCTCCTGCATGCATTTTTCGCTTGGGGCGCGTGGCTTCCTTCAACACAAGATTTGGTTACATTCTTCATTTGGGCTTGTGGCCTCCTTCGAATGCAGGTTCGTTTGGCCATATGGACCTTTGGCAGGAAAGTTTCATTTGAACAGTGGCTCTTCGTACAAGCTTTCGTTTGAGCAAAGACCTTTTGCATGTTTGCTTGAAGTTACAAAGTAATGGTCTCCTGCAACTCTCCTTCGACTCAGAAGCCATTGGTTTTGCATGTTTGCCAAATTCACAAGGCATAATTTCCCCTTCATGCTAGCGCTCCCAAAGCAGGGACCTCCTGCATACACCCTTTCGTTTGGCCATGTGACCTTTGGCAGGCAAGCCTTCGATTGGACAAAAGCCACCTTCACACAAAGCTTCGATTTTTGGAGTTTTGATTCCCTTCGAATCAGTATACTTCGAATCCAATCTGGACCTTTCGAGCAAGCTTGTTTGAAGAATATTGAGCAAACCTCATAGCCTTATCCTCCAAATCTCACTTGTCAGGCTATGTTACTTTCAAATCTTTACATAATCAGAGGCTTACGCAAGTTTGTGATACATTATGCAAAGATTGGAAGCTTTATCCACTGGATAATACCATTCTTGGATAAAATGGCAAAAAGCCACGTACTCTTTTTTTATAAAGAGTATTTTAATCACAAAGTTAGCTTCCAATCTGATTTTTGTCTGAACACAAGCAATGACAAAAGCATAAGTCCAATCTCCTGTACCCACCAGACGGCATCCCCCCCCCCACTTGTACTTGAAAATTGTTCTTTTTCGCTTTCATATTTTATTATTTTGCAAAGCTGACCACTTCAAAGGCCTACAAACTTTTCTCTATAAATAGAGAAACAATTGGCAAGCTTAAGGGGGGGTTTTTTAGAGGAATTTTGGGTGGTGCGGAAAGAATCTTCAAAAAATCATCAAAATCTCAAAAAACTCTTAAAATCTTAAGATTCTCAAACACTAAACACAAACCCAGAATCTAAAGAAACACAACACTTGTTTCTTTTTTCCTCTTTCGAATCTGAAGCAATCCCCACACTTTATTTTTCTTTCGAATCCTGCAGAAAGAAAACTACACCTGTTCTTCTCCTTCGAATTCAGAAATAACAAACACCACCCCCACACCTCCTGACCTTCGAATCCATTCGAACAAACACCTCACTTGTTTATTTCCTTCGAATCCAGGAGCATCTAGTCCAATCACTCAAGGTCAAACACACGTTCCAGCTTCAAGCAAGGTGAGTCATTATGACCTTAAACTCTTCGTTTAAAGCATGTACATAATATTTGTTTCCTTTTCGTTTCCACCATTTTAGCTTGTTTTCATTGCTAACCCTTTTGGTTTTGCTTCTTGGTTTATCAAATGCTTTTAAGAACTAACCTGGCCATAAGACAATGCTGGCATGACCTCGGGCCATGTTGCTATTTAAATCCCAAACAAAGGTAAACAGGAGGAAGGAAGTATGAATCGAAGCTTTAGGCTTCCCCCTAGCTGCTTCATAGTTGCAAGCAGAACAAAGAGTGTGGCCTTAGACTTTGCCACACACGGACTTCCAGGCCATTCGAAGGAAGCAGAAAATGATGCTAGAAGGATGTCCACACTGACTTCCAGGCCCAATCAAAGAAGGCATCAAGGAGCTTGGGGTGAAAAGTGAACCTCATGCTGATTCCAGGCCCCAATCGAAGGAAGCAGAAAGGCAGAATCAAAGGTTGCATCTCATGCTTCATGCTAAGCCCAAATCGAAGGGAGCCAGAGAAGCAGAATCGAAGGGTTATGCTGCCCAAATCGAAGCACTCATATTGAAGCCTTTTGCAAGTAATTGACCTACACTTATCAAGTTACTTGTCATAGAAGGTACATACAACACTTCAGTGATAGTAGCTTTTCGACCATCCTGCTTGACAATCGAAATATCTCTTTTACCACCTGATTTGATGTGTCTTCCATCTGTAAACTTTATCACCTTTTCGACAAACTCATCTAACTTGGTGAACTAGTTTTTATTGCCAGACATGTGGTTGCTACATCCTGAATCCAGATACCACATGTTGCTTTTCTCAGTGTTCGAATGAGTATTCACCATCAACACCACATCATCAGAATCACTATCTCCAACTCGTGCATATTGAGCTTCATCATTATCCTTCACCCTTGCAGCTTTCTTTCTTCGACAGTCTCTAGCATAGTGACTGAAACCTTGACAATTGTAACACTGCACCTCTTTTGTGTCAACTTTCTTCCCAGAATACTTGTTTCCCACACCTTTCTTGATCGAATTAGTATTCTTGCTTGATTTCTCATCACTAGCAATATTCCTTCGCTGTTTTGACTTCTCTTTTCCAGCTTTCTTGCTGAATCTTGATTGCAATGCTTGTTCAGCCACCTTCTCTCTTTCTGAGTTTCTCTGCTTCAACCTCATTTCATGAGCCTCTAATGAAGCTTGAAGTTCTCCCAACTTCATCTCAGATAGAGTCTTGGCCTCTTCAATCGTGACCACAATGTAGTCAAAATCTGCAGTCAAAGATCTTAATACCTTTTCTATCTTCTGTAGATTCGTGGTTGATTCACCACATGACTTCATTTGGCTTGTTAGCGTCACAATTCTTGAAAAATATGCAGCAATTGATTCATTTTCATCTGAAACATTTTGTATTGCTTCCTTAGCATCTGCAACTTCACATTCTTCAATTTCTCATCACCACCATACAAATTCTTTAGCTTCTCCCAAGCTCCTTTTGTTGTTTCTTCTTCAATTATTTTCTCAAAAACATCAGTATCCACACACTGATGAATCAAGAGCAATGTGTTATCGTCTTTCTTCCTTTGATTGTTGTGCGCAGTCTTCTGGACTTCCGTTGTATCTGCTTCCAATTTTATTACTCCATCATTCAAGGTTTCAACAACATCTTGAAATCTGAAAATAACTTTCATCTGCGCAACCCACCGTTGATAGTTTTCACCTTTGAAAACTGGTAGATTCGCTAAAAACTGTGTTGATGTTGTTGTTCTGTTTGCCATTAGATTCTCTATGAATCGCAACCGAGCTTTGTGATACCAATTTGTTGAAACAAAGGGTTTTCAAGAAAGATGGTTTATGGAGGAGGAATGTGTGTGTGTGTGTGTGTGTGTGAGAGAGAGAGAGAGAGAGAGAGAGAGAGAGAGAGAGAGAGAGAGAGAGAGAGAGAGAGAGAGAGAGAGAGAGAGAGAGAGAGAGAGAGATTATTGTGAGTTCTAACTTAATTATGAAATTGCTATTAACTATGTGTGTATTACAAAACAGAAAGCCCTTTATATCGGCACAAAATACACAGGCCTAATTCGTCAAAATATGCTAAGACCCAAACATGATTTCGACATACTACAACAACTGATGTATTCGACTATGTCAAATGCAGTACAACTTATATATCACTAATTATTCGACAGAACAAAAATTATACATTCTAACAAGAGTTGATCCAACAGTTTTCCGCACTCCCTAAAAGCGGTTTTAACTATCAACCATATATATAAACTTAATTTTACATCATACCAAGATACAATTTATTCTAATTTGCAAGTTACATTTCTCTGATATTGATGACTCGATGGTTTAAATACTCACATACTAGAGACCCTCATCATCATACCAAAAAGATTTCAAAACAGACTTTATGAACACATTACCAATTTTCTATTCCACGTCGTCAGAATAGATTGTCATTAGACAAATCAAATAGCCTTGAAAAATGGGAAAATAGATTGTCATTAGACAAATCAAATAGCCTTGAAAAATGGGAAAAGAACAATTATGGTAAAGAGGAACAATTTTCCCGTTTTGAAGAGAAACAGTTTTTTGTATTTTTGAAGGGAATTAATTTTGTTTGAGTTACTCCGATTAATTATTTTTATATAATTTAACCGTCAAATTAATAATTTTTAGTTATTAGATCAAGTTTATAAATTTTAAAATTATTTTATCTTTTATTAAGAAAATTCAATTCAACATATCATATATTTTTCAAAATACAAATAAAGTATTGACTAGAAAATTTTATAGTGATACATATCTAATTTTTTAAATTCATAATTACTAAAGTGATATAAAAATATTCAATGGTTGAAATATAAAAACATTCAATTCGGATACTTCAACGACTTAAGTTCGAGTTATTCTACTCATTGTTGGTTAGAAATATGTGATACAAGGACTTAGCTTATAACAGAAATCTGAATGCATATAAATTAAAAAGCCAACGAAGTACCTTTTGGTTAGTTGGGCATGAAACAATCAAGAGTCAATACATCAAACTTAATATTGTTGAACAACAGCTTATATCCACACCAACCGTAATAATAACACTAATAAACTCATTCAAAATCTGCACTTCATCCAAATATTTCTTTTTAAAAATCTGTTTAATACAAGTGTAACCATGTGTGACAGTAGAAACAGACCTTAATCTCCATTTCTAAGAGGCATGCTATAAACTTTCAGTCGACAGTAATTTTTCTGTGCTTTGCACGGGTTTTAAATACTAGTATAATATATATACCAGTTCCATCTTTACTAGCATTCAACAAGCAAGATAAATAGCTCTTCGTCAGTTATTGCTCCCAACTCCATTGCTCTTTCAAGTGCAGTATGTCCACCAGCATCTTTAATTGATGGTTTTGCGCCCCTGGTAAATTCACATGTTAGTTTATGCTTTTATTGGAATTATGTATTAGCCAGAAATACATGCTGCAATACAAGTGTGTATCTCACACATAAAACATGTAAATAATGCAAAATAGTTCCGGACATTTAAGAAATCATAGATGGAATCTCAGCTGGTTGTTCAGCAATAAGTTGTCATAAATATAGCATTACCTTCTTAGTAAAAACTTAGCCAATGAATTTTTCCCACTAGAAATGCAACGGTGCAAGGGAGTCCTTCCATGATAATCACGCATGTTTATATCAGCGCCGAATTGGAGCAACAGCTCAACCATTAATGTACTGCCAGAATGACATGCTAGGTGTAATAAAGACCAACCGCGGAAACAACTCTCTGTTTCATTAGCCTCCTTAATCCTCAGACAGGCTTCAGGATCATGCTGATGATTTTCAGTCTCTGCATGGGAAACCGCCTCTTCAAATTTTGTGTTTATAGGATTTGAAGTTGATGTTACAATAAGGCGATACACTTCTCGTACAGTTATAGCCTGAACTGCTTGCCATATTTTTGTGGAAACTGAAGGTTTTTCGGGTATGTCCTCTTCCCGGATGACTAGTGATTTCTCTGCATACTGATTAACAAAACATAAGTTACAACAATATTTACCTCAGTATAAATATTGAAGAAAACAGAGGCTTTAATCAGATAACATGGCACAGAAATTATAAACTGGCATATGATTAGTAGAAATAATGTATGAGATCAGAGAGCAATTCTTACGAACAAAAGTGGTCTCTCCATATAAGTAACACTGTCAAATGTCTTATTTCTATTAGTAATGAAACCAGTAATTATGTCCAAAAAGATGAAGTCAAATCCACAAAATACTATTCGATTCCAATGGAAGGCCAAACTATACATAGTTGATAAATGATAACTACATCCATAAGACTTTTGATAATTTTAGAAACATTTGTAATCGTGAGTGTTGGTTTTTTTGGGTATTAGTAAATATATTATCGAATTCACAACAAAATAATTTTTAAAAGTTTCCTCAGTGGCCAGAAGAGTCATTATATAATGGGAAAAAGAATACTTATTTAACAGACAAACTAAAAAATCATCATAATTACATTATTTCACTCGTGTCTGATGTCTTACTGTGACATATCTAAAATACCAATAATCAAGCTGCCCCTATTACAGTAAACCATGAAACCTACCAATAGAAAAGTGAAATTTAACTGAAAGTGCTTACCTTTGCTTGGATGTACTTTTCTTTATATTGGGAGGGATCTGTGGAACATGGTTTCAAAGGCACATTTGATTCACCTACTCTGCAGATAATTATTCCCAGAAAATAAAGGTTTACAAGCTCAGCTACTGAATAACTCAACGAGAATTAAAGCGCATACTGTACATTGCATTAAAGAGAATCAAAAGTATACCTTTCATCACCAAGCAGAAGCAAGCCCTCCCAAATAGAATTACAAAAAGTATTACCTAAATTATTGAATAACTCCAAAATGGTAGGTTCCCAAACCTTCACATCTAACGTTATAGATCTCACCTGCAGTTGGTAGATAAAATTTAATGACCGTAAGGAAACGGTTAACAATCAGGACTCATAAATTTCAAGTCAGAAATCACCTTATTTATGAAAGATTCAGTTCAACTATAAAGACAAACAAAAGTGTAGATTATTTCTCAAAAGTTGAAACCTAGGTTGTCGATGGCGCGCTATAACAGCGATATAGCGTAGCAGTGCAGGACCTCGGCGCTACGCTTTTGGCCTGCTAACCGCTATCTGCGATAGCGGAAATAGTGGCCGCTATTTGGGAAGTCGTGGCGGTGCTATGGCGGCGCAATAGCAGTTCTGTAGCACTTTACAGACCGCTATTGTGAAGATGTGGGCAATATTGCAATTTTTAATTTTTTTAAGGAAAAATTGGTATTTTTTCCTTTTATTATAAAATATGATATTGATGCTTTAGGTCATTATCATTTCTCTCTTCACTCAAATTTAACAAACGGTGGAGCCTAAGTTACCGTTCTCTCATTGCAAATTTGCTTCTTCAATTTTCTTCTCAACCTAAAAATCAGCTAACGACTAAATCTCAGCTTCACTCAAATTCAACAAACGGTGGAATCTAAGTTACCGCTCTCTCTCTCTCTCTCTCTCACTCTTCGCAAATCTGCTTCTTCCACTTTCTTCTCAACCTAAAAATTAGCAACAGCTAAAACTCAGCAAGCGGTTAACACAGTAAGAGTTACTAAACATAACTCTAGATTTGCTACATAGGTGTCTAATGGAGATGCGGAGTTGGAGGTGGAAGAAGAAGAGTTTGAAGAGCAAGATGATATTAATGTGGTGGAACTTAGAAGGGAAAATGAGGCGGATGTGATTTAGTCATTGTTTATGTTTAGAATTTGGTTTAGTCATTTTGAGCACATTTATAATTTGATTATGATGAGAACTTATATTGTGGTGTTGTTGGAATTTATGTATTTTGTTGCAACTTCTATTTTTAAAGCATTATGTATGTTGTTGGAATTTATTTTAAGTATTTATGAATTCATTTTAAGTATTTACCTTGGTTTTTAAAGCTCACAATAGCGGTCATCCCGCTATGCCGCTATAGCATTTTGGGAGTCCGGCACTATGCGCCGCTGAGATTAACAACCTAGGTTGAAACTAATAAGATTCTAAAAGTGAAAGCTTTTTACCCAAAAAAGAGTTGGAAAATTTATAAGCACTTTATATAAATATCCTAGAACAATGAACCAGGAACTAGAAGTTTAAGATCTCAACCCATGAATGCTTCAATGTTAAACATGAAAATCTTCAATCCAGTTAAATAAATTTGTTATACATGATAAACGCAGAAGCAAAATAAATGGTTTGCATTTGTCTGGAAGAATGCACCTTTGAGATATGAACACCAAGATTGCGATGCACTCCGGAGCATTCAATACACAGCAGTATACCAAGGTTTAAAGATGCCCAGTCTGGTTCAGGAGTACTGCACTCAGCACACTTGTCATTCCCAGGAATTCCCCTTAAAATTTTAGAGACACTACCCACTTCTTTGGAATATACATCATCCATCAAAGATTTATTACTATCCTCTTGTTGACTTGTCAAGGAAGAACCAGTTGCTGAGTTTTTATTTTGTAATTGCAATTTACCATAATGAGGCTGCAGCAATTAGAAATGGAAAAATGTTTACATCACATCATATTATGGACATATTGGTAAGAATTTACGTTTCAAAAAAGTTGAGTGGATAACCTGTTGAAGAAACTGAAAATTAAAAAGCGAGGTGATAGCTCCAGTAATTTTGTTTACCCAGTCCATTCTATCAGCTTCATTTTCAGCCTGGTGAAATCACTTTAAAAGTAAACTAACAAAGAAATCAATCCAAAAGAAAAATAGACTAGGATACATGAATTGATAGAAGATCTAACAAGGAACCTTGACAACTTTAACAAACAGAATGTCAATTTTTTAATATTTACGTTTAAATAAATAAACAAATGAGAGGTCGGTACAAAGAACATTTTTTTGGTTCTCACCAAGATAATTTTAAACATTACAGAGGCTGATTATATGACTCATTCGAAAATATGAAATAATTCCCTCGGTCACCTGCAGTGTATATGTTTTTGAGGGAGAAATGATACGGAAGCAAAGTCGTAGATCAGTATCCTCTGCGTCCATCTTTATAGTGGATGTGCACAGATCAACTGTACAAGAACCCAAAATATCCTCATTTAGTGACGCTGCCCTACTATGCCTTGAACGGAATCTACCAAACATGCCACTATTTTGTTCAGAAGAACGACTATAATTATATGACTGAAATCCCTGTAAACATATTTCAAAGAAAAACATTAGTAGATTGCTTGAGTTGCTTCAGATATGAAAAAAGTATTCCTACCGCGGGTTTGGGTCCTTTTGATCTGTAATAATATAAACTCCCATGGTTATCAAGTACAAAAAACCTTCTTTTCCAATCTCCTCGCATCCTTGATGATCGTTTTAACAGATAGCCTTGCTTAACTGTTTGAATCTAAAAACAGGGAGAAAAAAATTACACTGCAAGACTAAGTATAACATCAAAATAAAGATAAAAAGCAATGTACCTATCGTGAACTGGAGAATTATCATTTATTAACCAGAAAATGTGAATTACTTGCCTCGCCTTTGGTTGCAGACTGCATCCCTGCTTCAAAGCTTTTGTAAGAATTCAAACCTACAGGATGGGTGCCATCAGCACCTGGCATGGGTTTATTTTCAACTTCTGTCTGTGTCCTGTATTCCTGGATCCGTTTTGCAAGCTTATCTTGCTCAATATTAGCCACTTCTTTAGATTGTTGAGCATACGTTAGCACCTAAGTTAAGGACAGCCACCAAATATAAAATAGATAGTGAATTTGCACGACGCGGTCTAGTTTGGAGTTTTCAAAGCCACCAGCATCAAATATTTATGAGATTACTTCAAACTTGATCCTTATAAAACAAAACTTACTCAAAGCGTATATATTCAACAGTCACAATGTACAATTACGACATATTATTTATTATGTGCTCCAAGCCAGTTCGAAGAACAAACATCATAGAATAAACAAAACAAGAGCAGAATAATGCCTTCATAGTAAAAGTATAAGATAACAACTCGCAGGAGATATCTTCTCAAGCTGCAAGAAATTCAAATTACATACATGATACAAGAAATTCGAACACAAACAAAACACTCGGCCCCCGTAATGATGCTCCCTTTATTTAGTACATCTACTAACTTCTTTAATCAAATAGTATATAATAAATTTTGTTTGGGCAAGGATTTAAATCAACACTTTTTGCTACCCGCAAGTAACATTGCGAGTAAACATTAAATGAGACATTAGAGACAATCACTAGCCTTCAAAATTTCTTTTGTTTGGATCATATACCAGAAATATAGGATACAAGTGTTGGAAAACATTTTATTTCCCTATTTTTTTGTTTCTATTTATTCTCCATTAATTTCCTTTATTCTTCATTAAAAAGAGAATTAATGGTAATTTATGGAATTCCCACTATATAAACGGAGTCTGAGTCTAAGGAATAAAATATAACAACATTTACCATTCTCTTCAATATGGTATCAAGAGCACTAGGATAGGGTTTTACGGTAAAACTTTCCACAACTAGTGGAGTTTGGGGCATAGTCCTGAAAAAAATTTCTGTTCACAAACAAATATAACATATAGGAGAGGATTATTTTTCATGTGCTCTCTTGCTCACTATAACCAATAATGTGGGTTAAATAACTCGTAGAGAATGATATTGAGTTCACAAACTTAGAAATGGTGCCTAATCTATCCAATCAATTAGGGGAGTACATCAGTAGGATAGGCACAGAATGAGGGGGATTCCATTCTGACATTTTGCTGAAATCTATTAGAAGGAGATCATTCTTTGGTTAGGAGCTTAGGCTCCATGATATTCCATTACATTCTCTAGTAGTACATGCTGCTGATCTCATTCATTTCTATTAATACAAATAATATATTTGGCCTAATTATGTTACTGTTTTATCACTTTTGCTATTTCTTCTGTTATTTGTATGGCTTCCATCACAAGCACTGAATAATAGAAACTTCATTTCTAATTCTAATTATATGCCAGAACCATAAAGCTTAGGTTATTAGGTTTAGAGGCATGAATAGTTTTATACCATATCTTAACATGATCCAATGTGCTGATAATCATAAAATATCTTCCCTTGTAAGAAATGAACAAAAACACTAGTTACCTGGTGAATATAAGGCTCCATTTGGCTCAGTAAGTCATAACCCTAAAGTATAAGATGACATGTTAAGTGCAAAATAATAATAAACCATGAAAATTCAAACATGAAGAATAAGCAACCAATTTACGGACCAGTTTAAAGTATCTCAAATGAGCGTCCATTATTGCACTTATCGACTCCAAGAACTCGTACTTCTTTTTCACTTCAATATTCATGAGAGAGTGTACCTGCACTCCTTAAAATCCAGTAGCCAAAGTCATAAAATAAATAGGGTTGTTGAAATGTCTGAACAAAACATTAATAACTGTAAAAGACATACTAGATTGAAGCGGCTTTTCTCAAATGATGACTTTGAATTTTGTAGACCCTGTCATTGATCAAAGTATCATATAATTGATTAAGGAAAATGCTTATTTGTAAGAAAAAGTGAAAACAAGAAAGACAAGAATAAATCTCAACCATTCCTTATCACAACCACCCCCATGATCCCTATTAAAAAGGAAATTCAATTTATAATAAATTAAAATTATCCACTAAATCAATGACACATGTACATTCTTGTGTTTCTTACTTAAATTCATTCGTACTAAATAGCATTACTCAATTGATTAAATATTGGACTTACCGATAGTTGTTAAAGAATATGACAAATAAAGAGAGAATGCAGTGGATTATAAATGTCAGCAAATGTGTAGAGTCCTCTATGAATCAAAACCAACAATAACAAGAAGAACCGAGCCTTATTCCACTAGGTGAATTGGTTACGTGAACCAAGCAGTATTGCTGAATTCACAAGATATGTGAAAAGGGAAACCTAGTGCTATAAAGCTCCTGTGATGGCAAGGACCCGAAAGGATCTAACCCACTGTAAATCTATTATACATAGCCTTAGCCTGTATTTGTAAGAAGCTAACTCCATAACTCAAACTTGTGAACTATTTGTCACATAGAAGCAGCACCAATCACTGTGCCAAGGTTTCACAAGATATATCTCAGCAATATCATTTTTAGGTTGTCTCTTTTCAAGTTACTTATTAAAGAAAGAATAATGAACTATCGTAGATTGAGGTTTTTTAATTCTAAAGGACGAATGATGAAGAGTATAAAAATGGTGAAACTTTTTCAACCTTTTACCACTAAATACAAAACTAAGGAGTCAGCAAGACAAAGAACACAAATCACTTCAATATTCATTACCATAAGAGTAACAAATTATATTTAAGCAGGAAAGTGATGAAATACAGGGCCCGTTTGTTTCAGCTTTTTCTAAAAATGATTTTTATAGTGTTACATATTTTTATTTTTTTTAAAATTACAAAGATTTTTTTTAAAAAACTTCAAATGAAAAATTGGTTTAAATAGTTATTCTTAAAATATTATTTTAGTTATTTCATCATTTTGCTATAACATTTTTTGGAAATCAAAATATAAACAAAAATCACTTAAATTTGAAGCTATATCAAATAGCTTTTCATAAAAATCATTTTTGAGATACATCTTTTTTTTTAAATTGTGATTTTGACTATGTTTTAATCTTCAATAATGTATATGTATGTTACATGATGTTAAAATTAGTCTTTCAATTTACAAAAAACAAATTTAAAAAACTTATAATATTTTAAAAAATGTTTTTTGAAAATACAAAAACAAAAATCTATTTCTTTAAAGCTAAAATAAACAGGCCCACTTTCTAAACTAGGTCTCAAATATAAACTCTAACAGGTAAAATAAGTGCACATGCATAACTCTTGAACTGACAAACTTTTCACTGCAATCTGTAATCATGGCACATCATAAGATAAGGGAGAAGCGGCTGATCATTTACTAATTGATACGGCAAACCTCTTCTAATTCAGCAACAATATCTTCAGGAGTATTCTTCTTCAAAGAAACAAACTTTTCTCGTGACTGTAGAAAAGAGATACACAAACTGTTAGAAACCAATACTACTGTAAGCAATTGGGTATCTGGGTTCAATGTAATCAAAAAAGAAATAAAAAATCAGATAAATGGAAGATTTATAAGTTGAAGTCAAGAATGCAAGCAAATTCCTGCTTTCAAAAGTGCCATACATGTACAAAGTAGAAATGCATAATAGACTATTCAAAAAAAAAAAAAGAAATGCATGATAGACAAAACTAAAGAATTTAAATTAGCACCTAGGCCATTTTGAACCTATGCAAGCCTTATCACGATGGTTACAAGAGTACTTTGATTGCTAAAATAGCAGTTAGGTGTATTTTCTAAAATTTATTTTATCTCAAAATATCAAGGATTGCTACTGCTGTAGGAATAACTAAACTCTAATCAAATATAATTTTTCATAAACAGTTCAGTTGAGACAAATAAAATGAAGTGATAAATATAAATTGCAAGAATAACGCATAAACAACAGTCAATTACGATATAAGATAAAATTCTTATGCACCAACAACAGCCAATTACGATATAAGATAAAATTCTTATGCACCAACAACAGCCAATTACGATATAAGATAAAATTCTTATGCACCAACAACACAATTTAACCATCACATCAAAAGATTAAAAAACACACTAGTAACTCTTTTGAGGTATTTGAAACAGTAAATAATGGCTTAACGAAAGAAAAAAGAGTCAAATAAACAGGATGAATACCCAAAAATAGATGTCAAACAAAAGATACCAACTAGCCTATGTTCAACACAAGAACTGATTTGTAAGAAGAATGTCTAATCAAGAAAATATAACGTTCACTTATGAATGCAGTTTGATTTACCAAAATTACTGATTGTATTTGCAAATAGAATAATGTTAAAAACTCACTTCACAGTTTGAGTATAGAGCTTATAATTTCTTAAAACCTGATCATACGATTGCACAGATTTGTCAAAACGACGACGAGATTCCTGATATAAGCAAAAATGGATGGAATCAGAAGAGAGAAAGTCTAAGAAATTTCACTAAACAGATGATGTACATAAAACCTTTACAGTAGAAACATCAACTTGAGGGTGGGAAAAAAAGTAAATACCTTTGCATTTTGCAAATCAACATTTAGAAACTCTGACAACCGGTCAATCAATACATGCTCTACCTTTAAAAGAAATATGTCAAGTAATTTCTCAAACAAAAAAAAACTAAGACAAGTTGTCAATAAAGCATGAGGAAGATATCTTAGGATAATGCCAACCATAAATAAGTATACAACTGTCTCTCTTCAACTATTTTGATCTCTCTATTCCTTTAGAAAACAACCTAATATGTCTATCTTGTCCAGCAAAGATTCGTGAAAAGAAGATCTTAAATGGGAGAAGGAGTTTTCAACTATTATTCAATTTTTATTATACAAAAGTTGGAGCCTTCAGAACTTTCCTTCTTCCAGTGAAAAGGTGAACAGGGAACTTCTACAGGTTAAGTAATCATTTACACACTGCTTCAAAAATTTTGGATGAGGAAATTGTAGTTGATGTTCCACTTTATTTTTATATGGATTAGAGAAATGGATAGCTGAATATGTTTTTGCCTGTTCAACTTAGGTCTTTTGACAACACAACTCATGCACAACAAAGCACAATGGAGAAAAACAGAACCAGTCACATGATTTTTGTTTTATTACTACATGAATGATAAGTATAAAATATATTCAGCAAAAAGAGACAGGAATACAAAAATCCAACTCATCAACTTACTATGAAAGAGAAATCAAAAGGATTGTTTTCTTGATCTTAGTTTTAGTAAATTTGAGCAAGCTGAATAAGCAGACTAAACAAAATTGTTTTCAAAGTAAAACACGTCAGGTCTCGCAATCACTACTATCTATTGAAATTCCAAGAAAAAAGTGCAGCATTTTGGTTCAAGGACTCACCTGTGAGCGAAGAAGCTCTTTAAAAGTAGCTAACTCACGTAGTGCAGTGATAAACTTAGATATGACGGGTCCTGGTTAGAAAGCAAAATACACTTAACTCTTAGCAATGGTCAGGAATATCTTTGGTGGATGTCAAATATCCCACTTATCATCAAATAACAAAGACAGCTTATGCATAGCTTGAATTGTGACAAAGATGTCCCCAAGTAAGTCAAATGGTATAAAAAGCAACTATAGCATTATGTAATCATCAAAAGAAAGCGTGATCAAGAACTAGATAAAAATACATTGGAGCGGTTGTTTAATATTTTCATTTTGCCCTTTGCTAAAAAAAAGAGATAAAAGTCCTTCACTAATTAAGGCAAAGTTCAGTGAAGTAAAAACATTTTACAAGGAAAAATAATTTAAGCTGTAGACTCCTAAAATAGGACAATGTTGATAAACGAACTCAGTGTTTTTACATGCTAAACTAAGTAATTAACAATTTTATCACCAAACGAAAATATAGTTCTTCTGTAAACACAAAAGAACTGCCACATGAAATCCTTAACGCGTACGAAGAAGAGGAAGTAAAACAATATATTAATAAATTTGAACAACCTCCAACTGATACACTAACAGGGTCGTCGTAGCCTCCTCCAAATGCTTCTAATGAATCAGCAAAGGCGTTTTCTCCATTATGTGCTTCCCCCAAAGCTGTCCTGAGGAGATATATAAGATAGCGTCAATAAACTTCCCCTGGTGTGGTTCCAGCAAATGGTTTAAGCAATAACAGGCTAATTTGATTGGTGAAATTTTCAACTAAAACACGGTGCCTCTATGTTTGAACTTTAAAACCGTTCCTTTTAGCCAACACCACACAGACATTCATGGATGATCTTCCAGATCTACGGTTAGACCCAAAAAAATAACTATTACCAATAAAAACTAATTCTGCTTTATTTTCATTTGATTAAACTTGAAGAACACTAGTATTTAGATACTCCACATACACCATTTCAGGGCCAAATTTGGTGGCACACTAGCACTAACATCATTTTACATTCAAACACATTTGCATTTGATTAAACAAATTAATTTATACAAAAACCTTATTAAAATAAATTAAAAATATCATGAAAGAATACTATTAGAAAAAAGGGGAGAAACTACAACTGGAGTGGGATCATAAATTATCCTAAAAAGAATTGGAACCATGAGTAGCCGAACAAAAAATAATCCCGGTACTTATTTCTGAGTAGCCAACAAAAAAAATCCCTATACTTATTTATGTTGTACTTGAGTAAAATATTCATAAAAAATAGATAGCTTCAAAGTCTAGGATTGCTTTAGCAAGTTAAAAATAACATCTAATACTCCATATAGGAATACCATTGAGCACTTACATAAATTTCTTACACCCTTTGAATAGATTCTGGCACCGATCCTTTAACTCGTCTGCTGTGTCTTCCATAAAAAATAACTGTTCCATGGAAAATAAATAAGTCTGTGTAAGGTACCATCACCCTTAATCAGGTAAAGGACTGTTTTTTCTATATAAAAAAACTATGATTCCAAGAAACATGATCAATATAAATAAATAAATCATTGCGAGATAGCATCACTCTTAATCAAGTAAAGGCCCTTTTTTTGTTTCAAAATAACTACAGATCCAAGAAGATCGATATAAATATCATTATTTACAGACAGTATAAATAAATTTTGCATAGACGTACAATTATATTTCACCTTCTGCTCATATCATAATAATGCTTCCAGAAACCAATTACAGAAGAGTGAAAAGGTGGCAAAATATGATTAGATGCATATGTGTAGAACTTGTTTACAGTTGCACTATCCAGATACACTTATTACACTCAATTAAGAAAAGTGGGTGAAGACTTGTGACTTAAGAGTATGCTCCTCTCAAAGTCTCAGCTTCAAAATCCACCGGTGCTAACACTTCTTGTGTTGTGTCAGTCCATACAGATTTGCTCTAGCTTCAATTGGACCCCCTCGCTAGTGGACGGTGGGTGGGATCGGTCCCCGAATTAGTTGGTAAGAAAACAGGGGAATCTAATTTTTGGATTTTGTTTTGGCCAAAAATATTGACAGATAGATCATGACAAAATTACTAAATTCATACACATAAAAAGCATTGCGCAAGAATCTATAGTTCCATTCATTTTGCTAGATAAGTTACCTGGTTGAATCCTATGATAACGAATCAAAAAAGTATAAATAACGGAAATGCACACATTCTATTTCAAGGGAAAACAGCAAAACTTATAGGCATTGAATAGAACACTCATACAAGTACAAACAAAAGTACTAGATAATAAGGAATCATCGTAGCGAACACAAAAGGGAAAAATCATTAATCAAACTGTAAGTGAGCACAAAATTAATTCAACAGAGTAAGGCCAGTCAATCCAATCCTATGATGTATATTATGCAAATACACCTCAAAGGAGAAGTCTCTATATGAAGCACTGACACCACCAGAAACACGACACTGACCCGTCACGCTGACACTGGTAATAATTTGAAAAAATAATAAATTAAATGTGATCACAAGTGTCCATAAAAATGGTAATGGTAGCTAATTGTTCATAAATCCTGGCATACGAAATTCTTATCACTGATTCAAAATCAAGGAAAATGAAAATCCAAAAGCTTGTGATGGTGACAAAGTAAACGGAAAGCATAATAAAATAATAATGTTGTGAGAGTAAAGTAAATCTGGAGAGAAATTCAATCAGCAGATTGAGCAGAAAAGTAGATTGCGATGTGAAGATGTGAACCTGCTTCTGGAACATTGGAGAATCGTCAAGCTTGACGAAAGAAGATGCCATTGCAACTCTGTTCGCACTCTCTGTGTGATCTCTTGCTCTCGATTTGCGTGTGGCTGGTTAGAGTTTAGATCACACGAAGAACCCAAAATACATATAAATTTTGGTAAATGTTAACAAGATTTGGTAATTATTTATTTTATGTCTTGCAATAGATCTAAAAGCTAATTTTGCATTATTAGTCTTGTTGTTAGGTACACCTGTTATATATGATTTCATACTTTCATTTCATTTTCTATCATTTCTATAATATCTAATAAAAATCATGTCATATAACTTATTTTAAAAATATAATATAATTTGATATTTAATATGATCGTAATTAGTTGATATTATAAAATTATTTTATCTTTTAATCTCTTTATATTATATCAATTATTTTGATTTTTTTTTGAATAATTAGGTATTAAAAAAAATCGTAAATAACCACGTTTCGGAAAAAATTACGCAAATAACCATGTTTCAGATGGCTCTCTAAAGGAGGAGCCATCTCACTTGGCGCCTCCATCAAGCTTTTTGCCCTAGGCGTCATCTCACTTGGCGTCTCCTCTCTCTTTTAGCCAAGTGAGATGGCGCATGCACTTTAAAAGTGAGAGGAGGCGCCATCTCACTTGGCTCCTAGGGCAAAATGTTGTTTTTATAAATAATTCGTCCATTTCCCCGTCATTTCTCACACTTTCTCGCACTGTTTTCTTATTTTTTTACTCTATTATTTGCGTCATGACATCGCCCATGATTTTTACCAAAGATGGTTACGTTATCTTCTCCGCCACAAAACCTGCGATGAAAATGAAATTCTGGCACATTCACTCCATGGAGCGTCTGAAGCGGGAGTTGATGCGATGGTTAGATGGAGACATCGTGGAGGAGGGAAAATTCGAAGGATCCAGCGAAGACGAACAACAACCTCACATGCGACAGGAAGACCTAATGTTTGGTTGGAGGAAGTCAAAACAGACAGCGACGTAATATTGATGATGTATGGATCAGATGATATTGTTTTAACTGTTGTAATTTCGTAGACGGAATATCGTGTTTTTTTTCTTGTACGCGCAATGTTTATTGTAGCAAATACTGTTAACGAAAAACCCTAATGTTTACAACATAATTAAGGAAATATTGTATGTAATACAATTTTTATGTGGTCGAGGCAGACGCCCGATTCAGATAATTTTTGTGATTGTGTCCGACCTGACGGCATAAACCACACTTTCTTTCCAGCTTGTCAAGGGAGTCCATTTCGGTTGTGATGCGCTTACTTTTGGGACGACCCTTTTTGTTCCTTCACATTTGGTCATTGTGCCATACTATTTCGCCGTCGTATGCAGGCCAATAATCTAGTTTTGCTACCAAAGGGAAGCTGTTGTTGTAAATGTTGAGCAACATTTCAGATTTGTAAATGTGTGACAGAAGTTGTAGCGCTTCTTGATGGGTATAAGCACACGCGGCAATAACATGAGAGCAAGGCATACGAAAGGCTTGAAACTTGCCACAATCGCACCAACGAGAAGGTAGTACAACCCAATATTCTTGTCTTGGCAGGCCCTCGTTGTGGTTGATTGTCTCTTTCACAATGAAGTTGTGGCTGTGTCGGTCAAACCGTATAACCATATGGGTGTTGGCTTTGGCACTTTCTGCCTTAATGTACTTCATGCAGCTTTCACTCCATAGTTGTCTAGATTGCAACATCGCATTCCACATTTCACCTCTTTTGGAAAATAACGAAGCCATCCTAAAATACGTAGATTTTACCAAAGCAGTGACCGGGAGGTTTCGTATGCCTTTGAATACCCCATTCACCGATTCAATTAGATTTGTTGTCATGTGCCCCAATCTTTGGCCATTGTCGTATGACCTAGTCCATTTTTCTACCAAAATATTGTCGATCCACCTACCGGCTTTTGGATTTGACAAACGGATCTCGTTGCAGTAATATTTGAATGTGGGTTGTGTCAATGCATATCCCGCATTCATAACAGATTTCCTTAGTGTTTTGTCCTTGATCTCCCTCGTGAAATTTTGGACGATGTGTCTAACGCAATAGACATGCGTATAAGGAGGGTCATGCCAATCGTTTGCAGGATTATTGTATGCACTTTTAATGGATGCATGTCTATCCGAGATTAAACAGAGATCTGGTTGAGGAGCCATGTGTGTTCGCAGGTTTTTCAGAAAAAAGCTCCAAGCACCACCGGTCTCCCCCTCGACTAGGGCAAAGGCAATTGGGAAAATGTTGTTGTTGCCATCTTGTGCAACTGCCATCAGTAGCGTGCCTTTGTATTTCCCATACAACCAAATCCCATCAATTTGTATAATTTGTTTGCATGATGCAAACCATGTGATGCAAGGTTGAAATGCCCAAAACACTCGACTGAATATTCCATTTCCGTTTAGTTGACTACCATCTTGGGCGTATGCTAGCACTGTTTCCAGAATGTAAACAGTACCGGAGAATAAGTCTTGAGTGCATTCAGGTAGCAAGGAAGTTCTTGGTATGACTCCTCCCAGTTTCCGTATACCTTTTCAATCTCCTTGGTCTTTGCTAACCACGCCTTACGGTAAGATAGAGTATAGTTAAAAACCGTAGTGATGTGGGAGATGATAGTTTTCACCTTCAAAGATGGATCGTTGCTGACGAGTGGTAGGATTTCTTGACAAATGAGATCGTAATTAAGTTTTCGATGGTCCTGTGATTGAGTAGAACTGACATAAGTGTGGGTAGACATGGAACCTATGACCCAGCAATCACCTTTTAATATGTATGATGCAGTGAGCTTGAACATACAATCAGGGTGGACACACTTGATCTTGTACCTTTCTGGGTTTACACGGTCCATCTTAAAATCGACCGAGTTGAGCATGTGGAATTTTTTAATGGCTCAGATACATTCTTCTCTGTTACTAAACTTGTCATTCTCTTTTAAGTTTTCATCCGACTGCATATACGGATTGAAAAATAAATCAGAAGACGGTTCATCTCCGCCCATGTTGAAGTTTGTCATGTGCGGAGGTGGTGTGTAGATCTCGTTTGCAGGAATACCAGGTATCCCATCATCTTCGGAATCATCATTCACCATTTCGTCAAACTCTAACTCGTCATCTTCTTCTTCTTCATCAACTTCATCTACCTCTGCTTGTTCGGTCTCCAAAGGATCAACCACTTGTGTCATCTGAGGCTCTCACAGCATAATGTACAACTCAATAGAGTTGTACCCAGAATACACATGACTGGAAAACATATTCTGAAGATCATCGTCATCTTGAACCTCAACCTTATAAAATATTATTTGGTTGTTACCAAAAAAAATTGGATTATGATAAAATATTTGTGTCACCGGGCCTCGTCCAAGTTTGGCCTCCAATCGTTTTTTGAAGTACAAGAATTTGGCTTTCCCGTTTAAATGATATCGGATGTTGTTTGTGTCTCTAAAAAAAACCCAGAGGTGGGACAAATGTATATCTCACTGTTGAAATGTGCATTGATGACATATTAGGGTGCAAAGGCCATTGCGTATGGTTGTTTGAAGGTTTGAAGGTTTGAAGGTTGGAAGGTTTGAAGTTTTTAAGTTATTCGAAGGTTTGTAGGTTTGATTGTTTGAAGGTTTGATTGTTTGAAGGTTTGAAGGTTGGAAGGTTTGACATATTAAGTGAATCAGTGTTTTGATAAATGTAAGACTAAATAGGTCATACTGAATTTGAATTAACTAAGGTTGTAACCTCTAAGGCTCCTCCCATCACGTCCAATAGTGTTACCAAGGTTGTCACCTAGCATGCGCCTACTCTGCAAACCATGCCACCTCTTATTCGCCAATGGGGATGGCGGCACCTTTCATTTTTGTACTCTTTCGCCAAGTCCAATGGCACCTCCCTTCACCTCCAATAGTGTTACATGCATTCAGGCATGCCTTCTACAAGGTTGTCACCTAGCCTGCGCCTACTCTGCACCTACATTGTAACCTGTAAGTCTCCTCCCATCACCTCCAATAGTGTTACATGCATTCAGGCATGCCTTCTCCAAGGCGGTCACCTAGCCTGCGCCTACTCTGTAATCCATGCCACCTCTTATTCTCCAATGGAGATGGCGACACCTTTCATTTTTGTACTCTTTTGCCAAGTCCAATGGCGTCTCCCTTCATGTCCAATCGTGTTACATGCATGCAGAGATGCCTTCTCCAAGGCTGCCACCTAGCCTGTGCCTACTCTGCACCTACACTGTAACCTGTAAGTCTCCTCTCATCACCTCCAATAGTGTTACATGCATTCAGGCATGCCTTCTCCAAGGCTGTCACCTAGCCTGCACCTACTCTGCAACCCATGCCACCTCTTATTCGCCAATGGGGGATGGCGACATCTTTCATTTTTGTACTCTTTCGCCAAGTCCAATGGCGCCTTCCTTAATGTCCAATCGTGTTACATGCATGCAGATATGCCTTCTCCAAGGCTGCCACCTAGCCTGTGCCTACACTGCAAGAGTGACACTTATCATGCATGCATGCACCAGCTACCACCTCACTTACTCTATGAAAATTTTTTTGCCTATAAATACAGAGCATAACATACTTCCCTCGCACCCACAATCATCTCACTCTCTGCTACAAAGTCTTTCATAATCTCTTACAATTTCTAAGTCTTTCATAATCTCAGGCATTTTCAATAATGACTCTTCTCACAATGGGCGATTCTCACAGAGGCACAAGGGATAACATTGCAGCATTTGTAAGTTTCTTTTATAGTTATACATTTTTTATACTTCTAGTAATGCTTTGTTCATCTTACTTAATCTTACACCTTTTACATTATTAACTCAAGATACCAAAAGATTCAGAATCCGGTCTCACAACTACCTGGCTCCCAACCCATTTATCGTACCATATCTGGAATACGCAGGTTTCGGACATGTTATAAAGATCTCTAACTGCACAATTGATTCAAAGTTCATACTTGCAATGTTGGAAAGGTGGAGACCAGAGACCCATACATTTCACCTACCAATAGGTGAATGT